TCAGCTCCTAACACTTTCCTCCTTTTTTCCCAAATGCCTTTTCTTAAGGCATTTGGGGAAACAGGCCTCAGAAGAAAAACCCAGAGAAAACAGCCTAAAGCACATTGCTGCTTAGAATGGTTACTTTTTTTTTTTTTTATTATTTCGGCATATTGTGGGGGTACAGATTTTAAGGTTTCAATAAATGCCCATTTCTCCCCCTCCCCCCAAGAGAATGGTTACTTTTGAAGTCCATTTTAAAAATAATCAGTCATCCAAAAAACAATGCCCAAACACTCAAAGTTTCCTATAATGCATCCAATAAAGTTCAAACTAAAAGGCCTGCATGTGGCTTTATTGGCCTAACAGTAAGGTCCGGGGACTACCAACCATCATCAGTCTCTAACAGTCAACTGAAGTCATTAAAAAATTATAAGTTTCCTGATATCATCCCACCTGTGCTGAATCATAATCTGAAGGTAGGATCCAGGAATCTGCAATGTGAACAGTATTCCAGGTGATGATGCCCACTGTGAGCTTATAGACCTTTTAAAATGGAATCATGTTAAAATAAAGAGACCTAAAGAATCTGAGAACTGAAAGATGAACACCAAGAAAGAACTCTTGGCCGGGCATAGTGGCTCAGGCCTGTAATCCTAGCACTCTGGGAAGCCGGATCACTCAAGGTCAGGAGTTTGAAACCACCCTGAGCAAGAGCGAGACCCCATCTCTACTAAAAATAGAAAGAAAATTAACTGGCCAACTAAAATATTTAGAAAAAATTAGCCAGGCATGGTAGCGCATGCCTATAGTCCCAGCTACTCAGGAGGCTGAGGCAGTAGGATTGCCTGAGCCCAGGAGTGTGAGGGTGCTGTGAGCTAGGCTGACACCATGGCACTCTAGCCTGGGCAACAGAGTCTCAAAAAAAAAAAAAAAAAAAAAAGAAAGAAAGAAAAAGAAAAAAGAAAAGAAAAAGAAAAAGAAAGAACCTTGCTAAAGTTGCTTCACCAAGGTTTTAAATTTCAAATCCTACTCAACTCTATCACATAAACCATTGACATAGGGCAGAATTATTATTGACACAGGGCAGAATTATTGTGTGGCTTTAGTGGATCCACCAAGTCTGGGTTCCTTTTCTACTGCCACTTGGATTCTAAGAACCAGGAATGCCAGCCTTCCTTCTCTGATAGTCTACTTCATTGCTGCCCTAGGTGCCTTTCCTTGCCTATGCATCATTCATTCACCTACTACCAACCTAAAGGCCACCAGAAAAAACAAAGTTGAAGCTGGGCATGATGGTTCATGCCTGTAATCTCAGTCACTCAAGAGGCTGAGGCTGGAGGATTGCTTGAGGTCAGGGGTTAAGACCAGCCTGGGTGACATAGCAAGACCTCATCCTTAAAAAAAATTTTTTTTAAATTAGCTGGGTGCAGCTGGGCATGGTGGCTCACGCCTGTAATCCTAGCACTCTCAAAGGCTGAGGCAGGTGGATCCCTCAAGGGTCAGGAGTTCAAAACCAGCCTGGAGCGAGACCCTGTCTCTACTAAAAATAGAAAGAAATTGACAACTAAAAAAATATATATAGAAAAGTTAGCCGGGCATGGTGGTGCATGCCTGTAGTCCCAGCTACTCAGGAGGCTGAGGCAGCAGGATCGCTTGAGCCCAGGAGATTGAGGTTGCTGTAAGCTAGGCTGATGCCACGGCACTCACTCTAGCCTGAGCAACAAAGTGAGACTCTACCTCAAAAAAATAAATAAATAAAAAATAAATTAGCTGGGTGTGTGGCTCACACCTGTAGTCTCAGCTACTCAGGAGGCTAAGGTCATTCAAGCTCAGGAGTTTGAGGCTACAGTGAGCTATGATCATGCCATCGCACTGCAACCTGAGCAAAGCAAGACCCATGTCAAAAAAAAAAGAAAGAAAAAGGTAAAGAACAAATGCAATCATCCCATCACTAGCACCCATAGGCTCTACCCATCTCCCTCTTCAATCCATTATAGGTAAGGCATCTGGGAATCACTGTTACTTTGGGTAGGCTGACAGTCAAAGTCAAGACATAGAAATCTGAAACCTTGCTTTGAAAAAGCTTTGGCCTTTAAAACTAAACACTTCACAAGACAAAACCAACTTGATTTTTTTGAACTCAATTTCAGACTAGGACTCATATAGGAAATGTTGTGCAATGTTATGTATAAGACTGCTGTAAAGGAACCATTGGTATTTATGTAAATGTCTTGAAAAAGTCCAGAAATAATCTAGAAACAACTTTGGATTGATTTACTCAAAGATTCAAGCATCACAGCTTGGAGGAGCAACTCTCAGTGGTATAAGAATCAACTCCCAGGAGGGTGGGAAGGGGGAGGTAGGGATGGGTACTTAATAATTAAAAAAAAAAAAAAATCAACTAACTTTAGCTAGGGGTGTTTAAGCATGTTGACTTCAAGAGTCCAGAAGTGAACTGTAGTCCTACTTCAATTCCCAGCCCAAATCTAAACCCAGAGCATCTGTGAAAAGATATTATGTCACAAAGCTGGGACACTCACAGATAATACTAAGGCCATTGCTTAGCATTAATTCATTTGACAAACAAGAACTCAAATAATGTCAATGCTCTGAATTAGTCTAACTCAGTTGTTCATTTAAATCATCTGACAGTGGGTAAAATGGAACAATAGAACAATGACTAGTATTTCTGTCTCCTAGCAAGGTTAAAAAAATATTTTCTCAGAAAAGTGAAACTATATCTGACCTTGAGATTCAAAGTGGTAGGGGTCAGTCAGTTCTCCCAGGTCAGAAGACTATCTTGCCCTCTAAAGCCTACCTTAATAGCAAAAGTAAAATCTATTATCAGTTATGACTACCACTAGACACAGTCTAATCTAGAAAGCTCAAGCAGATGCTAGCAATGCTGACAAGTTGAAAGGCTTCTTGGTGTCTTGGTCATATTGCTTAATTCTCAGGAAATATACACTCTTAAGTTTGTTGGGCTTTACTGGTTTTAAGTGTCAAAAGCCTTCTAATAACTTTCAATTTACTGGTTTCTAGGATCCTCAGGGCTAACTTTAAGAGGAGAGTAAAGATAATAATATCAAAATTATGTAGCCCTGTCATCCCAAAAATGTTCTGAGCTTCCCTAAGGGCTTAAGGGATAAAATTAATTCAAAAAGTAAATCCAAAGGCTTTTTCAAATTCACTGCAGGGTCAGTCTATCTGGTTTGGGTTAGCAGTTGTGGAATGAGCTAATTATAGTGTCCCCTGTTCTGCCAAAACACTATCTAGAACTTGCTTCATTTCCCAAGAGGTTTCCTTACCCTGTTCCCTGGCAGCAGGAGAAGCAACAGCCAAGTAAGACAAGTATCTCCCAAATGATCAGCTTCTACCTTGCTGCTGGGTAACTGGAAGAACCTCAAGGTAAATCCTACAGGTTTCACTTTATCTCTGCCAACAATGAAAAACGAACACATGGCAAGCCAAAACCAGTCTAAGGCTTTCCTTTTCTTCAGGTGCTAGCAACTTTAAACCATATGCTGAAGAGAAAGCATAGGTTCTTTGCAGAAGTCAAGGTCACTTGTGGGACTGTCCTTGCTTGGATAAGAGGGCTAGGACTCCCTCGGCACAGTAGTTTTTCTGTTTAAAAGGCCAAGTTATTGGCTGGGCTTGGTGGCTCACGCTTGTAATCCTAGCACTCTGGGAGGCCTGAGGCCAGTGGATCACTCAAGGTCAGGAGTTCAAAACCAGCCTGAGCAAAAGCGAGACCCCATCTCTACTAAAAAATAGAAAGAAATTAATTGGCCAATTAAAACATATATAGAAAAAATTAGCCAGGCATGGTGGCACATGCCTGTAGTCCCAGCTACTCGGGAGGCTGAGGTAGGAGGATCGCTTGAGCCTAGGAGTCTGAGGTTGCTGTGAGCGAGGCTGATGCCATGGCACTCTAGCTCAGGCAACAGAGTGAGACTTTGTCTCCAAAAAAACAAACAAATAAATAAAAAGCCAAGTTATTTAGAACCAAAAGTACTGGCAATTTGAAATTGGAGGCACCATTACTTGCAACAATATTTTTAGGATCTCAAAACTAACAATTGTCAAGTAAAGGGCCCTAAAGAATGAAAGGAAGATCCTAGACAGACTTAAGATCAACAGCAACCCCTGGACAAGCAAGTAGTATGACTGGTCATGTGACCTTGGCATTACTATCTCTTGCTGATTATCTTCATTTATTGGCGTGCAATTTGCTGGAACCACCTTTCTGGTTCTTTCTCCAATCATATGTTATAATCATGCAGGAGGTTTTACAGAAGTGCTCCACTCCACCCAAGCTCCTCCTATATAAAGAGTAAGTGAAAGAGTCCCAAGGACAAAGAGGACCTGAGGGTCCCACCTTTCTTTCTTTTCCTTTTTTGCTACCAGAATAGCAAGTCAGGGTCCCACTTTTCTAGCTGAAACTGTTACTGTGTGGTCACTAAAGGTTTAAATAATTGGGTTGGAGAAACGGAAACAAGCAGTTTAGGAACTAACAAGGCCCTTCCTACAAAGCAGAAGACGAAATTAGCCATTGTTCAGCTCTGGCCCACAGACAGTGTGTGCCTATCTTTTCATTTCTGCCACCCCTTTTACCTGTTCACCCCCACCCCTTCTTCCACCAAACAGACTCTTTCCCTAACTCCAGGGAACACCACACCTCTGTTCCCTACAGGCGGCTCGTCTCGGCTCCTTTTTCCAGAGTAACGCATCTCTCCCTCTTCCACCTTAGACATACCAGGTGACAGTAGTGTCGGGCCTACCCACCCGCCAGACTGCAGGCCGGGGCGGGCAGACTTCACTTCACCCCCCACTGCCGAAGAGAAGCGTAGCACATGGCCCTGGGAGCTCCACGCAGGGCAGGCGGCCAGCCCAGCGCAGGGCCCCTTTAAGGCGCGCAGGGGTGCGCGCGGGTGTGGGAGGGAGACCCCGGCGCTTGAGGGCCTGCGGTCGCCTCAGCCCCACCCTGGGATGGCGTGCTCCCTCCCTTAGCTACTCACCTTAGCTCCCAAGAGCCGGGCGGCCGCAGTGAGTAAAGCCATGGCGGGCGAACTCCAGGATCTGGTGGGGAGGGAAAGAGGGGACAGAGCTGGGCAGGAACGGGAGCCGCCGCCGCTGCACCAAAGGCCACGCCAACCGGCGGACAAGGTTGAAAGGAGGCGGCTCAGGGAGAGGGTAGACGAACCCGCGGCGGCGCCCAGCCCGGGGTCCTCAGCAAGGCCCCGCCCACTGCCCAGAACCCGGTCCCGTCCCTCTCAGGGGACTCGCCCTGGGCTCGGCCATTGGCCCGGTGGGGAGGGGGGCGGGACCTGAGCCGTTGACAGCAGTTGTGGCGGGGAGGATTGGATCGCCCGGATTAGGCCAATTGAGAGTGGATGGGTGGCAGTAGGGGGGTGTAGGTGGCTAAATATGTGCCTGAGAACTCAGTTAACTTCTTTTCAGCTTTTTCATTTGGGGTTGGTCCTGAGGTGAATACTAAAGAAAAAGCTCCAGGACTCAACCTTGGAAGGTCGTTGGAAGCCAACTCCTTAAAATACTATCAGGAAAACTGATGTTGCCCACTCCTCCTACCACTTTGGCGCGCTTTCTTGACGAATGTCTTTGGTTAACGACTTCATGGCCATGGAAGTGACATCCATGTGGAAAACAGGCTATGATGCCAGAGATCATTTGCTGCTTGGTGGAGATCATTTGAGGTCAGCAGAAGCCAAGGTTTCATACATACTAATAGATCCCAATGTGTGGAGAAAAGCAAAAGCAGGAGTGTGAATTGAGTGCTTTGTGAAATGTCAGTTCTCTGTGTAATGCCAGGAAATCCAAGTCGTACAAAAGACCTCCTAAAATGAAGGCTTACAGAGCAGGCTAGAGCCTCTGTGTCCTGGGCATTACTCTCACTGCCACTCCAGTCATGTAACCCCAAACACTCTACATTTAGCCACAAGATTAGGAGCTACAGACCAACCCCTCACCCAAGATCAGGCATTAGGCACCCTCCCTTTTTGTCACCTCACTCCCTTAAGGGCATTGGGCCACTTCTACTTGGCTATCTTCTATACTCCCTTATCCTGTGCTGTCCAAACACCATTAAATGACCCTTGGCTCTAAAATGATCTTCCACACCACTCTCTTAACTTCTCTGGGTAGACAAGATCTCAGGACTTTTGTACCTCCCTAAGCCTGTTGTCACTGACCCAAGGGCAGAGGGGAGCTGACCCAAGGACCAGGGAACCTTATCTATAAACCCCCAGCCCCAATGAAACCCCTTTTATTAATATCTCATCACATAGTGGTAACAAGGTTCAGAGGTCTCAGTACCCATCTAAGCCAGGTTTGGGTAGACCTCTTTTATAAAGAACTTAGTTTATATCTTAGACTTGGAAAAAGAGAAAGAAAACTCCTATTTTCTCTTCCCAAGTTACCTTATTCCCAGCTTCACACCTAACAACCAATGCTTCTCTGACTTGGGGATCAGATAGGTAGGTTTTAGGAAAGAACTTTGGTCTTTCAGTCTTTCTCCACCTGTTCCTCTCTCTGGAATGTAATTTAAATTAAAAAAAGAAAAAAAGGAAAGAACTTCATAAAGAGAAGCCACGCAATGACCCAGAGGAGCATTGACCTCAGCTGATCCCTGGTGACTTCAAAGCTCCATTGATCAATATTTGCTCCAAATTTAGCATCTCACAGAGAATTTCCTCTGGAATAACCCTAGAATAGTCTGACCTGGTTCCTTCCCCCTGGTTAATTATCCACAGAGACTAGCCAACAGACCGAGAGACTGAACTCCAGTTGCCCCAGGAGACAGAGGCAAGCTCAAGGTGAGGCTGCCTGGCCAGGCCCAGTGGCTTACGCCTGTAATTCTAGCCTCTGGGAGGCTGAGGCTGGCAGATTGCTTGAGGTCAGGAGTTCGAAACCAGCCTGAGCAAGAGCGAGACCCTGTCTCTACTATAAATAGAAAGAAATTAATTGGTCAACTAATATATATATATATAAATTTAGCCAGGCATGGTGGAGCATGCCTGTAGTCCTGTGGGGCGCGGTGTCAACGCCATTATAAGTTGGCGCCTGTTTCTGGCTTTGCCTAGAGCAGCTAACAAGTTTAGCGCAGACACAATTGTCGGTTGCCCTGTGGCGCGAGAATGCAAACAAAGGGTCCTGATATGGGCTAATGCTTTGGGGGCTCGACAGTTGAGCGGCCTATTGCAGCTTAGGGGTTATACTTTTGGGGTATATAGTGGCCTGCGCGCTGCCGGGCTGGGTCTTCCGCATCATGTAAGTCTAAAGGGAACCCCATTAAAGCACTGTCAAAAAAACTCCTGTTGCCGCGTCTTCCTTGCTGGCGAGGCGGGCGCGACATAGTCCCAGCTACTTGGGAGGCTGAGGCAGAAGGATTGCTTGAGCCCAGGAGTTTGAGGTTGCTGTGAGCTAGGATGACGCCATGGCACTCACTCTAGCCTGGGCAACAAAGCAAGACTCTGTCCCAAAACAAAAAAAAGGTGAGGCTGTCAAAGGAACAACTATTGAGTGGCCATAGGGTAACCTATTTTGGAGCTTTAGTGATTGGAGGGAGGGTGGGGAACAACAACACTCTGAGCCTTTTGACACTGCATCCTGGAAACTAGTGTCATGAGGACTTCATGGACTTGTTTTCAAGTTTTCCAATCCTTGGCTGGGCGTGGTGGCTCACACCTGTAATCCTAGCACTCTGGGAGGCTGAGGCAGACAGATCGCTCAAGGTCAGGAGTTTGAATCCAATCCTAACATCCATTGCTATAAGTTCAGTTGGAAAGGTCAGAGATCAAAGAGGCTTAATAAATCTCTGAACACTGATAGGACCCGGGCAGGTGGAGAAAATGTTAAGGGAGAAGGATTGGCATGAATAAAACAGCCAAGTGAGCTCTAGGTCTAAATATAAGTAAGTGTAAAACTACAGTGTAAAGGATAGTAAATAAGAACAAAAAATAAAATAAAAAAAAATACAACTAAGTGCCTGGGAACTAGAGGGGGGCGGAGAAAAGGCTGAGCATTGAGGTCACCATGACCTTGGGAGGACCTCTTTAAAATGGACAGGGGCAATGGTGCCCCCTGGTGGCCATAGACGAGTGGGAGAATGCAGCCTAAATTTAAACTCTCTTAAATTACATGAGTAAACCAACCTTCTGTATTTAATACATAATACCTCAAATCTATTGAGTACTATTTCCAGATACTGTCTAAATGCAGTATATGCATTATTTAATTAATCTTCACAACAACTCTAAGATATGTAGATAACATTAGTATCTCTAAAGAGGAAACCAAGGCTTAGATGAAGTATCCTGCCCAGTGTCATAGCTTGGAATTGGCATAGCTAGAATTCACATTGAGGTTGGCCTCACTCCAGAGCCTGTATCATCTTTCTTTTTTCCCCCTAAGGCTAGTCAAGTGAAGCAGTGGAAGTGGAGAAGGAGCAAAGGAATCTATAACTGGTTGTGATCAGTTAGTTGTAAACACCACTGCACTTGGACCACCCCAGAGCCTATATCTTAACTACTAAGCTGTATTGTTTATATTATGATTGGCTGTGAATTATCAGCTGCAAGTCAGTTAAAGGTATTTTTGAGCTGGGCACAGTGGCTCACATCTGTAATCCTAGCACTCTGGGAGGCCGAGGCGGGTAGATCGCTCAAGGTCAGGAGTTAGAAACCAGCCTGAGCAAGAGCGAGACCCCATCTCTACTAAAAATAGAAAGAAATACACTCTGGGAGGCCGAGGCTGGCGGATTGCTTGAGTTCAGGAGTTCGAAACCAGCCTGAGCAAGAGTGAGACCCTGTCTCTACTATAAATAGAAAGAAATTAATTGGCCAACTAGTATATATAGAAAAAATTAGCCAGGCATGGCGGTGCATGCCTGTAGTCCCAGCTACTTGGGAGGCTGAGGCAGTAGGATGGCCTAAGCCCAGGAGTTTGAGGTTACTGTGAGCTAGGCTGACGCCATGGCACTCACTCTAGCCTGGGCAACAAAGCGAGACTCTGTCAAAAAAAGAAAGAAAGAAAGAAAGAAAGAAAGAAAGAAAGAGAGAGAGAGAGAGAGAGAGAGAGAGAGAGGGAGGGAGGGAGGGAGGGAGGGAGGGAAGGAGGAAGGAAGGAAAGAGAAAAGAAAGAAAAAGAAAAGAAAAGAAAGAAAGAAAGAAAGAAAGAAAGAAAGAAAGAAAGAAAGAAAGAAAGAAAGAAAGAAAAGAAAGAAAGAAAGAAATTGGCCAAATAAAAATATATAGAAAAAATTAGCCAGTGTGGTGGCATATGCCTGTAGTTCCAGCTACTTGGGAAGCTGAGGCAGTAGAATTGCTTGAGCCCAGGAGTTTGAGGTTGCTGTGAGCTAGGCTGATGCCACGGCACTCTAGCCCAGGCAAAAGAGTGAGACTCTATCTCAAAAAAAAAAAAAGGGTATTTTTGAGTCATTGTCAACTGTGTCCTGGGGACATCAGCTCAGTGTGTTGCTATATTTAAAGATATTTTAAGTCAGGTGTGATGGCACATGCCTCTTGTCTCAGTTACTTGGGAGGCTGAGGTAGGTGTATTGTTTGAGCCCAGAAGTTTGAGGCCATAGTGTGCTATGATCACATCTGTGAATAGCTACTGCCTTTTTGACTGGGCAACATAGCAAGAGCCCATCCTAAAAAAAATAAAATAGGTAGGGTGCGGTGGCTCACACCTATAATCCTAGCACTCTGGGAGGCCAAGGCAGGAGGATTGCTCAAGTTCAGGAGTTCAAAATCAGTCTGAGCAAGAGCGAGATCCTGTCTCTACTATAAATAGAAAGAAATTAATTGGCCAACTAAAAATATATATAGAAAAAATTAGCCGGGCATGGTGCGCGTGCCTGTAGTCCCAGCTACTTGAGAGGCTGAGGCAGTAGGATCACTTGAGCCCAGGAGTTTGAGGTTGCTGTGAGCTAGGCTGATACCATGCCACGGCACTCTAGCCCAGGCAACAGAGTGAGAATCTGACTCAAAAATAAATAAATAAAATAAAAGGAACTATAATCTTACTCATGTGTAAAACCTTTGACATCATATATGAAATAGATGACAAATGGTAACATTTAGAACTTAAAATGATCAGAAGGGTAAAAATGGGCTTCTTATAAGTAATTAGTCTGAAAAAATGGCTGAACAGAAGATATAATGCTTTTCCATTATAGATTACTAGGATTAGAGGGCATGCATTCAAACTCTGAGGTAGTTTTCAAATGAATT